AAAAAATAAATTATTATTGAATCTCTCTGCCGTTGTAATGAACCTGAGACCAACCAGTCAATTGTAGCTATTGATCAACACAGTGAATTTAATGGGAGTTGTCAAGTTGTAGTGGCTATAGTAAACTGGCCTTAATTATACTACTGGAACACATCGATGTATATTTAGATTTGTAATCCATGATTATATTAAATCTGCATACTTTCCCATCTTTGTCTATTTTGTTTACTTTACCACGAGCATGTATTTTACTCCTTCTATACGTTTTTTTTTGTTATTATTCCTATTAGTGGAAAGAAAATTATATCTCTACGCCACTGAAGTGAGACGCTAATGATAACGGAAGTGGTGTGGTACTTTAATCACAGCCAGAGGCCACTTTTGGTTCCCGTGGTCTACGTCTGGCCAAGCATTTGATTCCCTCCATTAGTTTTCTAACTCAATGTGTCACCGCAAGCAAACGGCTTACCCGGATTGTTTTGGAGCGTATGTACTTAAAATATAATGTAATCCTAATACTATTTTATGTACAGTGTTTTAGTAACGTAATAAAATAAATTCAATATAAGGAACCCGTGCATTACTCGCATACACAACAAAATTGGCGACGAGGATGGGATGAGGTTAGGAAATCACGTGGGAAAATGGAATATACGCCGACACGCCCGAAGTCCTAACAATTCGCAGGAATTACACAAATCACTGGTCTTACACTGGTTGGATACCTAATTACATCTACAAATACGGAAAATTCACGCTGGTAATCGTTCAATATTTACATTGACTACATACGAACCCGATTTCAGATATATCCTTAAATCGACTTAATTACGAGTTTACGTGCTTACATACGAAATGACGGAACCCCTTCTGCAATCCATGACAATTTCGGTGAAGGAAAACTTGGTGAAGGAAAACTTGCACCCTTATGACGAAAATCACGAGACGTTCGACTGCTATTTACAAAGGCTCGATAACCACCTACAACTTAAGAAGATCGATGATTCAACCGCGGAAAGAGATAAAACCTACGTACAAATATTGATCAGCTGTCTTAGTCCGAAGATTTACCAGACACTTACAAAGCTTACGGCACCTGATCTACCAAATTCTAAAAGTTACAAGGAACTCATTAAAATGCTAAAAGAGCATTTAGCCCCACAAGCGAGCATTATAGCCGAACAGCACAAATTTTCATTACGTACACAACATGAGGGGGAAACAATTGCTAATTACGTGGCCGAATTACGGAAAATGACTACAAATTGCAACTTTAAATGTGAAAACTGTAGTAAATCGACTATCAATACGCATTTACGCACTCAATTCATACGAGGAATTCGCGATAGTGAGATACGAGAGAGATTACTGCAGCAGAAGTCAACAGCCACATTCGAGGAGATAGTACAGATCGCAAATTCGGTGGAAATTTCGAAGAAAGAAGCAAGTCAGATGCAGAGAGAACTGAGTTGGTGGCATTACAAAAAGCAGGTTAAATAATATACTTTGTAGTAGTTTTTTTTTTTTTTTTACTACCTACACTGGTCATAATAGAGACAATATATTTTTCCTAATTTGTGCAACGTTATTGCAAAATATATCAATACCAAGTTTATTGTAATAATTGCACATTCGATACAGCGGCGAATTTTGGTAATGTGATGTTCGAGGTATACCAATTTCAAAAGTTCTTTGCTGTCTAATGTTTTTTCTAGGAACTACAAGTTTTAATTGATGTAGGGTTTGAGTGTCGTCAATTAGGTGGTGAGTTATTTTATATAAGTATAACATCGAATTAAGTTGAGAGTATTGCTTAAGTGATAATAATTCAGTATTAGATAACAATAATTCGTAATCAGCGTGATCAGGATAATATCCATTCTTTCGGTAATACACATATTTCAAAAATCTTTTCTGGACTGACTCTAACATTTTCAAATATTTTTCATACATTGAATTCCAAATCACCGAACAGTAATTAATTTTGCTCAAAACGTAACATCGGTACAAAGTAAAAAATGTTTGCCTATTAGTAAACAACTTATAATTTCTTATTACAAAACCGAGAGTTCTACTACAACTGTTTGTTAGTTGACAAATGTGTGAATTAAAATTAAGTTTTGAGTCAAACAGCATACCTAAGTCACTTACTTCATCTTCACGCCGTAGCCCAGTATCACAAAGAGAATAACTAAAAGTAATGAGATTTTCCTTTCTTCCGTAACTCACCACACAACATTTATTTATATTGAGAGAGAGACGATTTAATTCACACCAAACTTCAATGTTTTTTAAATCCTCTTGCAGACACTTACAGTCATTAATGTTGTTGATTGTTCGAAACACTTTCATGTCGTCAGCATACAATAGCACATTTGAGATAATATTCGCACCAATATCATTGATAGAAACTAGACAAGCAATTGCCTTCAAGTCCAAGAATTCGAGAATTTTCTCAAAATGAATGGAATTAATCATAAAGTTACCGCGCCATATCACCCAGCGACCAACGGCCAGGCGAAACGAATGACCTTTTGTCACCTTTTGGAAAGATGAGTTCTTTTGTGGGTTAGGGCTAATAGATTACGTTAATGAAAAACCAAAAATTAAGAAAATGATTTCTGCTTGGCTCGCCATTTGGGGCCAGGGACCTGCACCACTTTTACTTGCAAAGCGTCTCCAAACTCATTTGTGGCCTTGGTTCACTGGCCAGTAGTTCCAGATATTCAAACAAGTATGCAAGGGATTGATTACAATTTTGTTTTGGTGCCGATCGTCATTCATGTCAAATTGACTTTGTATAAATATGTTCAGGGGGTTATTAAAAAATTATTCGTTGATTATTTTTAGAAACTGTAAGGATAATCTAATCTTATGTTTAATTGTCCACATCCATTGTTTCAGTTTACTCTTCTGAACTGGAGGGTACACTTCTTACGCCCAATTGCATAAAAGATTCCCCGGAATGTAAAACTTTGGAAGAAACATTATCTAAGGAATTTAGTAACCCTGATCCATCTCGAAAGTGGCGAGAAGGTGTCAATAAATCCTCATTTTCGTACCTGTTATTAGACCCTCGTCTCACCAACAATTTGCCTAACCGAGCTGAACAGATGCCACCAACTGAGGTTTGGAAGACATTCTTGGAATCAATTTTTTATGTGGGAAAAGGCAAACGCGCTCGGCCTTACTCGCATTTGTACGATGCAGTTAAACTTTGGAATGCGGGTATGATAAACGATTCCAATAAAAAATTACAACACATACTTGATATTTGGAAGGCTGATTTAGGTGTAATATGTTTGCATGTCTTTCAAAATGTGATACCCGTAGAAGCCTACACAAGAGAGGCAGCTATGATTGCGGCATTAAAATTGGAGAATTTAAGAAATAACAAACTGGGGCAGTTTTATGGAACTCCATTGACATGGTCAGCGCAGCAGCAAAACAAGCTTGGTGTTGCGCTACTTTATAAAGCAATGATGATATTTCTTAACGAAGGGGAACGGCAATTAAAACCAAGTGATATTAATTGAGAGTATTTTACAATTGTAATGTATTATAGTATTTTTTATAAAAGCTTATTTTTGTACATATTATTCTAGTCTTAAATTTTGTAGTAGTAAGTGCAATCTTATGACGAAACCTGTCAATTATTTTTAAAGGGTTTTAACTAATATTAAAAGAGAAAGTATTTGTTTTTATGATGTGTAAAGTTATATGATAGGATTGTTGAAGTATTAAATAGTAACTAATTTCATTTCTTAGAAATTGTTTGCTGTGCAATAGTGTGAACCTTAGATCATATAATCATGGATAGAGCTATCTCACAAGCTCTACTAAAAGACAACCGTCGCCAACATTCCAACGTGCATTTTTATGCCTAATTATCTTTTACTATTAGTAAGTTGTAATGTATTTATCCTTTGCCGGGTTGATTGTAAAAGTGCGCAAGCTTGGCGATGGTAAGGACGTTTGTCCGTTTGACATCGTATATTCGCAAACAGCTGTTTTTGTTGTTTAATAATAATCTTTATAATAATAATCTTTATTGTCCAAACAGGTGTAATACAAAACCCTAGAATAGGACAAAATTATAAGTGAGAGAGTAAAAATTAATGAAGTAACTAACTCGTAAAAAAAAATAATAACTAAGTAATATAATTAAGAATGATAGGTAAAGGAGTGTGAAAAATATCTACATGACTTGAAATATCATTATAGTGATAAGGATAACACATTGTATAAATCGGTGAGCTTTGTCTGATATTGGTTCTACATCTTGGCAATTGAAATGTGATTTTATTCCTAGATGAGGGACGTGGTATATAAAATTTTATCGAGTTATGTAGCAAATTGCAGTCAGTTAGGTTGTGCAAAAGCTTATATAGATAAGTAACAGCCATTCGCCTTCTCCTAACTACTAGCGGGACAAGATCAAAGTTTTCTAGCATAATTGCCTGGGGGTAGCCTCTTTCCGGGTAGTAACCATCCTTTCGGAAACACATATATTTAATAATTCTCCTCTGCACATGTTCGATGTCATTTTCGTACTTTTTGTACAGTGGACTCCATATGATTGCTCCGTATTCCAGTTTAGGTCGAACCAATGTTGTGTAGAGAGATTTAATTGTTGCGATGCTGGAAAATTCCGCGCTGACGCGTATAACATACCCCGCTACTTTCATTGCTTTATTTACCATGTAACCTTGTTTGACTTTATATGGTTATATATAAAACTAAACTTTTAATACAGTTCTGTACCACTAAATTGTCCTATAAAGATATGTATTTATTCATGTATTGAGAACCTTTTTTACCCTAAATAATAAATATTGCATTGTTTATTAACATTGTGATGTTAAAGATTTGAATTTTCTGATTGGTTACTATCGCTGAAACTGTACATGGAATAACAACATATAATTTGTACGTCGACAAGAGAGATACAGCACAAAAGTATGTAGAGTCTTGAATCAGAACATGTTGGCGACATAAGTGTAATTGCATCGCTCCATCCATGTTTATATGATCTAAGGTGTGAACTACTTTACTGACTATTGACTTTATTAGGTGTAATTAAGTGATATTTTATATCTAAATTACATGTTAGCTTGATGCAATAAATCTATACTTTTAATTGTTTGTTTCTCAACAAAACATTCTATTCTAAAAAAAATTCTAAAATGTACTGCTAAATTCGCAACTTTATGTCGCCACAACATTGGAAAACATAATTAAACTGGAACGCGCACTGCCGGTCTCTGCCATAGAAACGTAGCGCGCCGAGAGAGATGGTGCAAGGGGGATTTCTGTCACTGTCACTCAATACAATTGGGAAACTGATCATTAATATAATTAATTCAAAACATCAAATAGGCTGCTCTATGCATGCGCGAGAGTAGGACAGAGAATCCCCCTTGTGGCCCTCTCTCTCGGATCGCGCTGGCCGACGGAGCGCGCGGTCCAGTATAATTATAGTTGAGTGTTCACAATCGATAAGGATGTGTTTTATGGTCAGTGCATTCAGGATTGTTGCACTGTTCACAGGCGGGTGGAGGATTGGAGTTTAGGAGATGCTTGTGTGTCCGATTCGTAGTCTTTGAATGATGATTTTACTTTTCTTGGAAATGGGGGCAGCTTTAAATGGGTTTACTGTTGGATTGATCTCATGAAGTTTGGAGTGTATACTGTTCCAGTGCGTCTGCCAGGTTTTGCGTATGTGGCTTTAGAACGCTTTTAAGTCTGTAAAGTGTTTGCGGCACGACCTGCTGCCTCATTCCCGGGAATACCAACATGTGATGATGTCCCATATCAGAGTTATGGATACCTCCTGAGAAGAAAGATGTCTGGTGGAGACGTGAATGGATTGCACGAGCAGATTTTAGGTGTATACATCTTTGAGGGAATGTATGGAAGCCAGGGAATCTGATGTACATACATACAGCTACTTAGGTGTATCTTGGTGTTAAAGTATTTATGACTTCTAGGATGCCGAATAGTTCTCCAGTATGGATGCTGGTGGTGATTGGAAGTGAGGTGCATGCAATGATGTCATCACCATTGACAACTGAACAACCGACGCCAAGTTCGCTTTTCGAAGCGTCAGTATAAAGGACTGTGTCGTAGCGATTCTTGGTAACCAATTCGGTAAATGTCTGCCTTAGGATCTCACTTGGTGTTTCGAGTTTTGGAAGTATGCTAAGTGTTGTATCGATAGTAGGAATTGTTTTCCTCCATTGGGGGGGGGGGGGTCTATTGCTACTGGATTGGATAATGTTTTAGAAAGTTCTACATTAGCAAGAAGCGGCGGGAGCATTTCAGGTAGTGGGATTGGGTTTGGCGATGGAAGTCGGGGAATAGGTGGATTTTGAGTATTGGCGGATACTCCGGTAAAGTAAGCCAGAAGAAGCAACCGTAATCTAGGCGTGAACGGAATAGTGACCTATATATTGTGATCAGCATGTCTTCTTCAGTCCCCCACTGATGATGGGCCAGTGTTTTCAAAAGGTTCAGTCTACTTAAGCCCTCTCCTCTGATATTTTGAATGTGGAATTTCCAGTTTAGTCTGCAGTCAAAGGTGACTCCTAGTATTTTGTGATGACTTACAAAGGAGAGGTGTTTGTTATAAAGTAAAATCACTGGGTTGGGGGTTTTGATACGTCTTTTGAAGAACTTCATTACCTTAGCTTTTGTGACAGAAAAGTGAAGCCCGTTATTTGAAGTCCACCGTGAGAGTTGGTTCACTGCGTCCTGAATTAGGTTCCCTGTAGTTATGCTGTCCTTTCCATGGCAGAATATGATTAGGTCATCCACATAAGGAAGGTATTAACAAAAATTAAAAATTAACAAAATGTACTATTGTTTGCGTTTTGTCCGGACTCGCTTCTACTGTTTTGAACTACTTCCTTGGTCCTAGAGTCCTGGAATTTTTTTGCAGTAGGTAGCCTATACCTGGAAAGTGTGCCAGACGGCCATCAAATTTCGCTTTCTAAAAGGGGACCCCCCCCCCCCACGAATTATGTTCTGAGATGCTGTTTTTGAAAGTAAAACGTGCATGACTTTTACATATATACGACAACCAATTGGTCTCAGATTTTGCATACACATGCCTTTACTGGTGCCAAGTTGAACTTTAGGAAATTGGGGGGGGGGGGGTAAACACATGTTCTATCCTTCATGGTATTCGAATTAAAGGTCTCAACGAAAGGAACCGTTTTCTACCAACTACTGCCCTTCTTTCTGTCCTCTTATCAAAGTGCGAGGTTTAGGGGAAGAGGAACTAGTTTTATCCTTCATGGTACTCTAATGAAAAGGCTCAACGAAAGGAATTAATTTCGACCAACCATAGCCCTCCTCCTCGACCTCTTATCGTGATCAGGTTTGTTTTGCTTGTTTATCAACGATGTAGCTGACGTTATCTACTGCCATAAGTTACTATACGCAGATGACTTGAAGATATACTCTATTATATCAAGTGCTGAAGACTGTTTACAACTCCAAACAAACGTTAATGCTTTAAGCAATTGGTGTAATGTTAACTCGTTGTCTCTTAACGTCGCGAAGTGTAAAATAGTTTCTTTTACCCGTACAGTGCGCCCAATTCAGTTCGAATACACTATTAATGATGCAAAATTACAGCGTTTTTTCTCAATAAAAGATTTAGGTGTCACGTTTGATAGTAAATTTACTTTTAGTGACCATATCAAAGATGTCTGTCATTCAGCAAATCGTATGCTTGGATTTATATTAGAAACTGTAAACACTTTTCTAATCAATTAGCACTTCGATCGTTGTACTATAGTTTAGTGCGTTCTAAAATTGAGTACTGTTCACTTATATATAATCCGACATACACGGCCCATAAGAATGCTCTTGAATCTATACAAAGAAAATTTCTAAAATTTTTGCACTATAAAACTTATGGTACTTATCCTGTGAGAGGTTTTGATCACAAAGAAGTGCTGCATATGTTTCAAATTCAATCATTAGACACTAGGAGAACTATCAATTATGTAACATTTCTATTTAATCTACTGCACAATCATATTGACTGTCCTGATCTATTGAAAGCTATCTGTTTTAAAATACCTCATACCAGTGTATGGAATACTAGTTCTAGAACATTTCACTACAACACTCCCCGCACAGAAATTCTATTTCAATCCCCTATTGTCACTATATGCCGTATATTTAATTCAATAAGCCAACGCTGTGATATCAACAATTCTAGCTTGCCATCAATATTGCAACAATGTTATTACATTGATTTTTTGTCTTTTATTGCTTCTTGTTTTTCATGTTATATACACAATACGGAAATGCATTGTTTTGTCAGCATTTTTGTTTCGATTTTCTGTGGGTAAATCTTTATTTACTTTTCTAATGTTAATTTTGTTTATTAGAGTTCTTTTATGTTAATTATAAGTTTACTAATTTAGTTATTATTTTAGCTATATGAAACACTACGTGCTTAATGAAGTTAAGTTAAGTTTGTCTTGTAATTGGAAAGATTTTCTGTTGGACATTTATTAAATATTATTATATTATTATTATCAGGTATATTCCCTTATACCTCAAGAACGGATTGTCAAAAGGGGGTACTCACAAAGGGCGATTGAGACGTCTGCAAGAAATATATCCATTGGTGATGTCAAAAGCTATTTCGGTTAAAAAAATGCGCTTTATCTGCACAAGGGTTGTGCACAATTTATACTTGTTTTAAGTTAATTAGATTTTAAAGATGTGTCTTGATGAGATCTACAAAAAAGGCTTCTACACTTTTTGCGTCGGGTTCAAAATAAAGGCGCAGAGGGCATTTTCTAAATGTTATAACAGCGTGTTTCAAAATGAATAGAGGGGTTTCAACATGTTATAATATTTGATAGATGAAACTTACAGCCACAAGTGATATATCAAATGAAAGAGAAACTCAAACAGTTTTTGTTTGTTGGCATCAGTGCGTATGTTTCCGCCGCAATCCGCTAGAAAGCGCTAATAGCAAAGATGGCGACTAAAGAACAGAAAGCGTTTTGTGTTTTACAGTTTGCAAAGACGGAATCTGTTGTTACTGTGCAACGTGCGTTCCGGATTAAGTTCGGTTGTGCTCCTCCAGGTGATAACAACATTCGTAGATGGTATCATCAGTTTCAAGACACTGGCTGCCTTTGTAAAGGCAAGAGTACGGGACGACCACGAACTAGTGAAGAGAGCGTTGAGCAAGTGCGTAATTCGTTGACGCGTAGCCCTATGAAATCCGTTCGGAAGGCTAGTCGTGAATTAGCAATTCCTGTGACGACTGTTTGGAGAGTTTTACGGCGACGCTTACAGCTACGTCCTTATCGTTTGCAGTTGTTACAGGCTCTGAAGCCTACCGACCATCTTTTACGTGCCAACTTCGCTAACGACATGTTGTTCCATGACAATGAAGATTTTCTGGATCTTGTCGTCTTCAGTGATGAATCGACCTTTCAGCTTAGTGGTCGAGTTAACACCCATAATGTTAGGATTTGGGGCTCAGAAAATCCCCACATGGGTACAAGTGCAACGAGACTCTCCTAAATTGAATGTTTTTTGTGCCATATGCCGGCAGAAAATGTATGGTCCTTTCTTTTTTGGTGAAGCAACTATCACTGGTACTTCTTATCTGGATACGTTACAGCAATGGCTCTTCCCTCAACTGACACATGATGAACCAGAAAACTTCATCTTTCAGCAAGATGGTGCGCCGCCTCACTGGCATAATGAGGTACGCGATTGGCTTAACCTAACTGTACCCTACCGCTGGATTGGCCGTAAGGGGCCTAATGACAGGGCTTGTTTCGCATGGCCTCCACGGTCACCCGACCTAACCCCGTGTGATTTTTATCTTTGGGGGTTTATTAAGGACCGTGTGTATGTGCCTCCACTGCCAGCCGACCTTCCCGATTTAAGAAACAGGATTGAAACAGCTGTTGCAGCAATTACTAATGAGACACTCATCAAAGTTTGGGAAGAACTAGCATACCGTCTTGACGTATGCCAAGTGACGAATGGTGCTCACATTGAACACTTGTAGGCTATTATGTAAAACTGTTTGAGTTTCTCTTTCATTTGATATAACAATTGTGGCTGTAAGTTTAATGAAGTATTAAATATTATAACATGTTAAAACCCCTCTATTCATTTTGAAACACGCTGTACTATGACCAAAGGTAAGTAATTACAATGACTATTAAAAGTAGTCGGAAAATCAAGTCAGGACCTGACAACTAGTTTTTAAGGTATACCTAGACCTATAGATGGCGTAACGGGTACAAATGAAACATAGATATATAAATACCTAGATACAGCCATCCTTAACAAACGTACCTCGGTTTTTAAAAAACATATCAAAGAAATTTGTACATCTCTCCATTACTTTCTAACCAAGAAGAAACATGTTCTATCTCTTTTTATTGCATTAACCACTATGTCGTACGCGAATCGGACGCTTAAAACAAACTTAGCGCGTCCATAAGTCATGTGACAGTTGACACATTTCACGATCGCGCGAAATCAAATCTAACTAAAAATATTCGCCCTAAACATGATGGGCGGTTTTTTCACTAAATATTATGTGATTATTGCGTTATCAATTGAATACGAATAACATTAGTGCTTGCCATAATGATAGACGCGTCCATAATTGTTATTCCTGAAATAGTTTTATTACATAGAGCTACGCCATTCAAATTTGGGACTATGTTTACCTTGTTTGGCATGATGTGCTGCAGTGAATTCATTGCTGGCTTGTAGAATATCAAAAAAACCGTAAGTAAGTAAAGTTTATGTTCAACAATTTAATTTTAATTGCATGGTTGTAGGCGTAATGGTTACGGAGATTAAGTTGCGACAGGAAGTGAATTCGTTTCCAATTATCATTTTGGCCTATATGATGTTGATGCAGTGCGTTTGTATCATGATCACAAAGAAGGATCCGTGCAATATTCTTAGGAAAACGAGATTTATAGACTGTGTGTGCGTGCAATATCAAATTTTGGTCGCTACGCGTCTTGCCTACCTTTCGGCATATGTCCAATCGGTGGAGTTTCTTTTTTAAATTATAGTGCTAATTGTAGTAAGTAAGCTACACGTGTACATTTATTTAAAATAAATACAACATCTTAGCAATGATATCCAATTGGTGATAATACTCATTTAGTGAACATTCATTACATTTATAAAAGTTCACAATCCGAATCATCGTCAGATGAAATTGACAAATCCGAATCATCACTGTCATTATTAACACTTATTATAAAGTTCAGAAACATCAACCAATATAACTTCTCTTTTAAATTAATCACTTTCCACATGTTCACCCACTTTCTTCCATTTGTCAGCTGTAATTTTTTCAAATTCTTCATTTTCCAGCTTTCTAAGTAACATCTTCCATTTTAAATGTAACATTTCTTGCTGCTATGCGATTTAAATAAATAAAAAGGCGGTTTATTTATGTTGTAAAATCTCAAATCTGATAATTTTCTGTGTGATTTGTGCTAACAATTTGATTGACAGCTATAATAAATAATGCGAATCTTGTCTTCCATGCTCAGGGTACCTCTATAAAGGATAGCGCTATACGTAATTAATGTGCCGAAAGTGATGGTAATAGATGGTACGTCCTTTTGAACTATGTTAGGGTATGGCTGTATCTATGTATTTATATATCTATGAAATGAAATATAAATAGGACGGCATACGAATTAAAACTAGTTGTCAGGTAAACTCCTGACTTGACTTTGCGACTAAGTAGGTACTTTTAATAAAGGTCATTGCAATTATCTTTGGTCATAGTATAACATTTAGAAAATGTCATCTAGCGCCTTTATTTTGAACCCGGCGCAAGAAGTGTGGAAGCCTTTGTTTTAGATCTCATAAAGACACATTTTTCTTGTAATTAACACTCTTATGCTTACTTTTAGAGAAAAATGTAAATTTAGAAAAATAAAATAAATAGTTCAACTTTTCAATTCAAAACTTCTCAAAAACAAAGGAACTCACAAAAAAATTGTAATGAACTTTTTTGTAGTTTTTTAAGCCATTTTGGCCACTGTATGAAAAAAAAAATTTTTCAAGCCGTTATGGCTCTTAAACGTTAATGTTAATGTTAAACACTGGTGAAACGTTGTTTATACGTTAAAGCTTAAACGTGGTTTGCATGTATCATCTTATTTTTAAGGTTTTGCTAACATTTTCGGAATAACGTCACTTTGAGATCGAATAATCTTTCAAATAAAACCTTAAGTTGAACGCCATTCGCAAAGGCCAGAACCTACAATTTGTGAACATTAACTATCCATACATTTAAGTAATCGTTATCGCACCTTATAATGGTGGTTGGCAACAGGGACGCCCGCAGGAGGGTGCCAGTAGGGTCAGTTGGCCCCTCTGAGACTTTGAGTGAAAAATATGTTAAAAATATCATTTGAAGAAAATGACACATAGCCTTTTAACAACTGCAGCGCAGCGGTAATTAATTATTGTGCAAAATAATTTGACGACCGTAGCTGGATGACTGTTAAAGAACATCCCAGATTTCATTTCCCCCTGACTCAAGACGCGTTCGGTTCCTGTTAAAATAAAAATGTGTGATTATGTGAAGCATACTAATGAACAGTTAGATTTTCTTGAAAATTGTTTGTATTATTTTTCAATTCCTATAGTATATATGTAAAGTATAAAATTATGAAAAACTGACTTTGCCTGCACGGCAGCAAATGTTTCTGGCCACTGATGACGTCACGCGGGGTAGGTAGCCTCGCGCACAGGTACGTTTTCTTGCTGCGCGCCGACCCTTGATTTTAAAGTGCTTACAGCGGGCGTAAATATCAATATTTTGCACCCAATTTTTTTCTGATCGTATTTTAATAACAAACTCTCGATTTCAGTTAAAATTAAAAAAATGTCGAACCTGCCCATTTACATAATCCTCAATAATTTCTCAACAGAAGAAGACAAAGTCCTCAAGGTTATTCTTATTGGGGAAATGTGCTGATGATGTCTAGAAATGTGTGCCGCCAATGTTCTGCTAATTTCACGGGCCCATCTAAATATATTACCTACCCTTCTATTCACAGTTTTTTATCCACACATTAAGTTCTAAGTAAGTATAGGGTCTAAGGCTTTTTGGTGAAGGTATTTATTGAAATTGACACTTTCAGTGCCGATACGAATAGTTCTCATCAACTATAAAGTGCACTTTCCTCTCATTTACACTTGGCAACTTTACTAGCCGAAAGTAAGTAGGTACTATCCGCCGGTGAACCTGCCAAATGTATTGCCTATTCGGTCGCTTTGCAATGTGAATAGATGATATCGACCATACGTCCATACTGTATATTAATATTTAGTTAAAAGACGGTCAGATAAGCATAAGTAGGATTTAAATTAGTTTTCCTCATTTTATGTAGGTAATACCTTAGTGTAAAGAATTCTTTACACTATGGTAATACATTCAAGAATAAAATATATTCGTATGTAAAATTCGGCTTTTATCATTTCGAAAAAGAAATAATGTGCGAATTTCAGTTTAAATATGTTCGTATTCGTATTCGTGCAAGATAAGAATACTAAATGAATAAAGATGTACGAGTTACATAAAGTTTGTTTTCAAAGTTTTTAGTTATAAATAAACATTAGACGATAAGCGAAAAATATAAATGGGAAGACTCGCGTGTACGGTTCATTCACAAAACAAAGAAATTTGGTAGTTAATCGATTTCTTTTCTAACCTCAAAATTATTTCGTGAGTGTTTTAAGGTCAAGGTTCGGTATTGTTGTAGATCACGTGTAATCGAGGAATCCGTTCCGTGTATAAGTAGGGCACAGCACACAGCGAGCGGCTCGTTTCACTCACCTAACCGCTTAAAGTAGTCGTGACTGCGAGTCTTCTGAATTTGGTGTCACTTTCTTATTTCTAGACCTGAGTTACTCCGTGCAATTATTTAATCAATTAAGCGGCAATGGGATCCTGGCCTGAAGATGTGGGCATTCTTGCCATCGAAACCGTTTTTCCATCGCTCTATGTGGACCAAACAGAATTGGAACAGTACGATGGTGTTAGTGCCGGGAAATATACCGTCGGTTTGGGTCAACATAAAATGGGCATTTGTGGTGACCGGGAAGATATCAACTCGATCTGTTTAACAGTCGTTCAAAATTTAATGGAACATTACGATATCAAGTATACTGATATTGGCCGTTTAGAAGTTGGGACCGAGACAATAATTGATAAATCCAAAAGTGTTAAAAGTGTGTTAATGCAGTTATTCGAACCACACGGTGTTATGGATATTGAAGGTATCGATACTACAAATGCGTGCTACGGAGGAACTGCTGCACTTTTTAATGCGATTGCATGGGTGGAGTCATCCGATTGGAATCACAGGTATGCTCTTGTGGTTACTGCGGACATTGCGGTCTATGCAGAAGGACCTGCCAGACCAACAGGCGGTGCAGGCGCCGTCGCAATGTTAATTGGTCCAAATGCACCTTTAGTTTTCGACCGTCATGTGCGTGCCACTTACATGCGGCATGTGTACGATTTTTATAAACCAGATCTAGCATCCGAATTTCCAAAAGTAGATGGTAAGCTTTCAATAGAATGTTATCTAAACGCTTTAGACACTTGTTACCAATTATATTGTAAACGCGCTTCAAAACGTGACAGCAAGGAGACTCCTGTCGACTTGAACCACTTCGACTACCTCCTATTCCATACGCCATTCTGCAAATTGATGCAAAAGTCCGTCGGACGACTAGGCCTGAACGATTTTCTCTCCACCTCGCCCGGTTTAATACCTCAGCTGTACCCTGGATTAAACAACTATAGAAAGGTCGACCTCAATAATTCGTATTTCGATAAGGACGTAGAAAAAACCTTCATGACTACAACGAAAGGTAGCTTCGAAACAAAAACACAACCCACTCTGCTGCTCGCAAATCAAATTGGTAATATGTATACCGCTTCACTTTATGGGGGGTTAGTGTCGCTCCTTATAAATCAGAATATCGAGCAAATCGCCGGCAGTAAAATTGGGCTTTTTTCTTATGGATCCGGATTAGCATCCACAATGTATTCGATCACGGTGACGAAAGATTCCAACGACAACTCGCAACTTTACAAATTAATTTCTAATCTAAAAAATGTTAAAACCAAATTGGAACAAAGACTAAAAATTTCACCCGAAAAGTTTATGACGATGTTAGCTGTGCGACAACAGAACTATAACAAAGCACCTTTCAAACCAATCGGTAGAGTAGAAGATTTATTTCCCGGAACTTACTATTTAGTAGAGATTGACGAAATGTATCGTAGACATTATAGGAGACATATTACAAGTAGTAATGGCTCAGTTTAGAATTTATTGTAAATCTGTATTACAATGGACTAAATTTAAATGATAATAGAAGTTTCTATTCTGAAAACAAATTACAATAAAAATGGTGCTTTGTAAAGTAACAATATGTCAACATGTAGCTTATAGAAATTTTATGTAAATACCCCAGAATCTCTCGCTTCTCTTAATTGTCATGTTTTTTACATTTGCAAGCAAAAAAAAGTCTCAATTACATTATGTTCCTCACTACTAATTCCTATCCAAATGCAGCCTTTTATCTTTACGACTCTAGTCATACCATTTAGCATTGATCTGAATTGTAGTTTATCTCCGTGTTAATTTTTTTAAATTTTATGTGTAACACCTGTACTTGTTACCAGATTGTCTGAGGCCAGTGTTACCTCTCGGCTAACTGCATAATCACATTTATAAGCTTAAGTGTATCTTAGGAAATTTTTAAGTTTTATATCGTGTAAATTTACACTTTTATTTAATTATACTTAGGTAGCATCTGTAGTATTTATTTTACATATCACTTTTAACTTTATAGCAGGATAAGTAATTCTTGTTATTTACTTTTAAGTATTATTATGGTGTTAGATGTTTTATGATTTAGAGAATAAATATGAGAAATTTGGAATTCCTAATAGGTGCACTATGTGCCTCCCCCTATAACATGATTCCAATGGATAATGAAGACAATATGTACCTATTTGTTAAATTTAGAAATAAGATTGTTGGTAAAAATGTTAATAAAATATCTCAACTTTATTTACTTTAATAGTAATCTAACCTTGCACTTTGCCTATAGTGATGTACCTTTGTACAAATGTTCATTTGGAACCATTGTTTGGTACCTAAATCTTATTACCCACACTAATTATTAATATTGTTGACAGTGCCACCCACTACTTTGTTACCAAACGAATTGTAAATCCATACAATGACAAAAGTTGCCTTGTGCAATACATGATTACGTTTCTGTTCAAAGTTATGTTTGATAAGATGGTGATTGGGGAGTTTAAGAATTACGAGAATCGATAATAATTACACAGACATAGTCCTAAGTCTAGTTTATAGTATTGAGGAGAGCCTACTATCCTAAATAAAATGTTTTATTTATGCCTACTATAACTACGAGCCGTCATCTGCGATTGCTGACGTCAAAAAAGCAGCCCGTTACTTTTTGTCTTGGCAAAAGGATCATTATCATAGTCTAAGCTCTGTATGGACTAATGGGTCTGTACAGAGCCAAAAAATTACAGCTCAAAAAGGGTTTCATTTATATTTCTTGTTACAATAAAGAACATATGACTGTCCGGTTTTCTGTGTTAGTAAATATTCTTTTTCGTCGACCTCTCGATAACAACATAAATTACACCTTAGTTACAGGTGTAACAATGAAGCTCATTAATGGTTAGAAACCATTATACGTTAGCAACCACTTATATATAACCATTATACATTAGCAACCATTAATCGTTAGCAACAACTTATACATAACAACCATTTTATTAGAGGGAAATGACATTTATATAACAATTCACTTTCGGCAACAGCTGAGAACTTCCATCCACCTAACCATTTTAATCTCGGTTTTAATGTAGTGAGATCAGCAGCCAGTATGGTCGCCAAACGATATCAGCAAAGCATATCCTGATGTATGTATGTGTAGCTCCTCGAATAAGGTATTGTTAAGGTATTCAGTTACTTTACCTTCAACATTGAGTACGTCGACCACAGGAATGAACTTTTCCATATCTTTGACTGTTAATACACGTACTTTAGTACAGTTGCAAAAGAGTTAATTACATTCTAATTTCACATACCTTTTCAAGGTAAAATGTCAACATGACATTTTCGGAAATATCTCCTTTCAAATTCATTGTATTCCATCAATTGCCGAACTGATCGAAACCGTCCAATAAGTTTCTTTTGATTTGAGTGGATATAATGTTAAAATCGCCTCCGCAGCAGAGCAAGAACATGATCTTCTACTGCGATTACAAGGACTGACGATATAGCATAAAACAACACATTACTATAGCAACGACAATAGCTGTAATTTTGTGAAAAATCGTCAGAGCTCATACATAATTTCGTTTTTTCACTACTAGCGTCTGATGACATGATTATTAACCTTTTTTCCACTTGTAAAGTAGGCTTTCTCGGCATTTGTTCAAAGTGGTTAATAATTTTTTATTATTAACTAGTAGTCAATAATGAGAACTGTCTCGCTGTCACTTTTAGAAAACACAACCCGAAATTTCGCTCAATGAACGTTTAGACAAGTTCTCTAAAACGAATAATTGCCACCATTCGCAATTTCCAGAGAAATTACATACCTAAAATTATCACATTTTGAAAAAATTCGAACGAAATACTCTTTGAAAAATCTCAATGACAGAACAAAATACGGCCTGTTTGACTTGTACTTCCACGTACTTGATTGACATGTTAAATTAAGAAACAAACAATTCTGTCCAACCGTTAACTTATCAATATAATATGTTAATTTAGAGGATTTCAAGTGCTAGTAGTGAAAAAAATAGTATATATACCACGGTAGAGAAGTCTATTATTGCCATCGCACCTTACACCCCTCGGCGCAAGCGCCTCGAGATGTAATCTTGGTGCTCAGGCAATAATAGTGGACTTCTCTACCTTGATATATAATGTACTATTTTTTCACTACTAGCGTCTGATGACATGATTATTAACCTTTTTTCCACTTGTAAAGTAGGCTTTCTCGGCATTTGTTCAAAGTGGTTAATAATTTTTTATTATTAACTAGTAGTCAATAATGAGAACTGTCACGCTGTCACTTTTAGAAAACACAACCCGAAATTTCGCTCAATGAACGTTTAGACAAGTTCTCTAAAACGAATAATTGCCACCATTCGCAATTTCCAGAGAAATTACATACCTAAAATTATCACATTTTGAAAAAATTCGAACGAAATTACTCTTTGAAAAATCTCAATGACAGAACAAAATACGGCCTGTTTGACTTGTACTTCCACGTACTTGATTGACATGTTAAATTAAGAAACAAAAAATTCTATCCAACCGTTAACTCTCTTATCAATATAATATGTTAATTTAGAGGATTTCAAGTGCTAGTAGTGAAAAAAATAGTATATATACCACGGTAGAGAAGTCTATTATTGCCTTCGCACCTTACACCCCTCGGCGCAAGCGCCTCGAGATGTAATCTTGGTGCTCAGGCAATAATAGTGGACTTCTCTACCTTGGTATATAATGTACTATTGTAATTTCTTGTAGTTGAATTTAAAATAACCTACCCCAGTGAAGTCGACGAAAAAACGTTGTATGCAATTCATGTATAAATCGGCGATTATTGGTTCGTTCGAATCACTCACCAATAAAACGCCTCATTTATACACTCATTGCATAAATAACTATTAAACTTCAGGTAACTATGCAGATATGAATTTGAAAAATTGCGCATGTGCAACCTAACTTTTATATTTGTGCCATCCAAATTTTTTATTTGTTAAGCTAAGCTAAAATTTGTTTTACAAACTATATGTCCAGTAACCATATAGGTACATCAGACCATGCGTCAAATCTGGTACTTCTGATTTTTTGTGTAGTTGTGTATGATGTTGACCCAGTATATAATCCAAGTTTTCGACCTTGGGTGCCGGACGCAAAATAGTCAGATATACAAAAAACCGAGAAATTTCGATTTTTTTTTCTGTTTTTGACGATTTTAACTCTGAAGGGCCAGTTTGTCGAAAATAATAAATGAATACGCTTTGAAAGTAGACTAAATTCTGTACAATTTGAGGCCACAACCGTTTCTATAGACGTGATAGTTTACCTACGAGATAATGCTTTTCAAAATTTATCGAAAATTGTTAGCACTACTTTGTTGTTCTGTAATTCTATAAAAGAAAACGAGAGGTGTAAATGATATTCTTTATTAAACTTCAAAATAGTCATTTTATAAAAAGAAATTTTGTTTGACTTCCATCTAAGTATATTTTCCCTTTTTGGACGAGCACGGTTGAGCATCGTCCATTTCCTTACTTGAATTTTGAAAGCTTTGTGGTTAGATTGTCAATGTCTTGTGTAACATCTCTCCACAATACATCATCCACCATTTCTAGATCAGAAAAAATCAGGGAGAATATAAAACGGCATCTAATTATTGTAAAGTAAAAATATCCAGGAGTGTGAACAGAGATAAATCAAACGATTAAACACTCTTGGTCCTTGGATCTTTGACAGCTAATTATTGTTTGACAGTTTAGTGGCAACATCAGAAGCTACCACCTTACAATAGTACCTACATTATATGTATATCAAGGTAGAGAATTATTGCCTGAGCACCAAGATTACATCTCGAGGCGCTTGCGCCGAGGGGTGTAAGGTGCGAAGGCAATAATAGACTTCTCTACCGTGGTATATATACCATTTTTTTCACTACTAGCACTTGAAGTCCTCTAAATTAACATATTATATTGATAAGAAAGTGAACGGTTGGACAGAATTTTTTGTTTATTAATTTAACATGTCAATCAAGTACGTGGAAGTACAAGTCAAACAGGCCGTATTTTGTTCTGTCATTGAGATTTTTCAAAGAGTAATTTCGTTCGAATTTTTTCAAAATGTGATAATTTTAGGTATGTAATTTCTCTGGAAATGGCGGATGGTGGCAATTATTCATTTTAGAGAACTTGTCTAAACGTTTATTGAACGAAATTTCGGGTTGTGTTTTCTAAAAGTGACAGCGTGACAGTTCTCATTACCACTTTGAACAAATGCCGAGAAAGCCTACTTTACAAGTGGAAAAAGGTTAATAATCATGTCATCAGGCGCTAGTAGTGAAAAAAATAAAATCTAGCATCGAATACCAGCCTACTAATTATACGTTTGTATTGCTAGTAGCTTAAACAAGGAAAGAGAGGCTAGTAGTGAATAAAATTCATTATCCGTTTTATTTTTCAGCGTAATACCGCCCATTCTTGGCATCTGTCTAAAACAGAATAGAAACGTCACCCACTGACCCACAAAGTATTGTGAAAGATTTTTGAATTCGAAAAATTGACAATCTTTGAAAAGCATTATCTCGGAATCTATTAGACCTATACAAACGGACTTATAGCAAATTTGGTCTGCTTTGAAAACTTATTGGACAGTTATTGGCGAAAAACTGGTCCTTCAGGGTTAAAATCGTCAAAATCTGAAAAGAAAACGAAAATTCCTCGGTTTTTAGTATATTTGACTATGTTGCGTTCGCTGCTCGAGGTCGAAAACTTTTATTATACATTGGGTTAACAACATAAGCAATCCCACAAAAAATCAGAACTACCGGATTTGACGCATGGTACCCCCCCATTTTCAGGAACAAGGTTACTGCTCTATCTGGTGGGACAGAATCAACCCCTTAGATAAGGTGTGTTGTAAAACTGATGTATGTGCGTGAAGATCTCGAGAAATGTTCGGTATACAGTTGAATCGGATTTTTAATATGTACATTATTCAGAACCTGTACTAGCAATATGCTTGTTTGAGGGCCCACAGCACAGGAATATCATTTTAATGATGGTTGGTTATGGGGAACGTATAAGAGAATACATTAACAGGAAGTTGTTCTTTTTTTGAGACCGATCCGAATTTTAAGCGGATTACTCACGTACAGAACTTTAAAACATATTAGGGAAACTGATCAAGTCGATCTTAATGTTGCACCAAACGAGTAACACTCAAATATCTCGAAAACCATTAACTTTACCCATTAA